CCTGTATGTCAATATGCTTGGCATCAAAACTTAGTTTATAATTAAAATTTTTCAATTATGTAAGTTTTGATATCTTAAATTAAAAAAGGTAAACTGAAATAAATTCTCATTCTTTGCTTCTCTGTGTCATGATACATCTGCACTCTGAATTCTCCATTTTAGTTTTTCTTACTACCCTATATGGGTTTCAGATTGTCTGAAACACATATTATAAAGATTTGCAAGCCAGAATATAAAATATGAACATCCAATCTTTTTTTTTGCTTTACTGGGATATCAAAATATTTGTCACCCCCACACGACATGTTCTCCCATCTTTTTCTGTTTTTCAAGACATGTCTATAATTTTCATCGACAGTGCTATTGGACATGTTTATAACCAATGGAAAAGGTATATATTCCTTATATGGTTAATTCCTTTCAGGCAGCCAAGCAGATAGTTTCCTTGATATTCATTCTCTGTGATTGTTGTTTTGTTCAGCTCTGAGCAGCTAACAGAATTTTATTAACCTATTTATAACTCAGCTAGAAAACCTGTTTGATAATAGTAGTTTTTGTATGTTATTTTCTAGTGTCTGATGTCTTCTTTATTTCTAAAGCAACATGAGGTATTTTGTGGACAATCAACATAATGTGAAAAAAGTAGAGACAGGAGAGTTAATGAATGAGTAAGAGAGATGGTGAGATTCCAGAAAGGTTTGTTAGCTGAAGTGGAGAAAAGGAAACTGACAGTATGCTCATTGGAAGAGAAGATGCACAAACTTGGTTCTAACTACAGCTGAAGGGATGATGAGGATCAAAAACAAATAAGGAAGGAGAAAAATGATATGAATAGATAACAGCAAGAAGTGGACTGGCAGGAATTTCGAAGAGATAGGACAAAGAGCTGTAGCAAGAGGAGGACTCCTCCAGAGAAACCATATGATCTCTTATGGCTATGATTTAAGTCAGTCAGTCTATAAATATGTTATTTTCAGATATTTTTAAAATCTTTATAAAATATACTTCAGTTTATGTATTTCTGTTACTGAGCAAGTTATATTCTATTCTCAGCAAAGAAATACCCCCCAGAAGAGTTCGAAGGTGGGCGTTTTCTCTCCAGGAGTTACTCAAGGATCCCGCTGGTAGAGATCAATTCATAAAGTTTTTAGAAAAGGAATTTAGTGCTGAAAATCTCATGTGAGTCCAAAACAAGCAATTTAATGTAATTGTAAAGAATTCTGTCTTCATACACCTGTGATGTTTTATGTCATTCTATCTAACTGTCTAGGCTGTTTTGTTTCTAAATACATCCGATTGCATGTATTTTCATCAGAAAATCAATCCGCTTTTACTTATTGAACCAATTTATATATCAAATATTGACTGGTTTGTCTGTCCTTCTCCCTCAGTTTATTTATATATCTCTCTCTCACACTATCTCTCTTTATATATATTGTTACAACAGAGGAAGTCACGCGACGCTGGGAGCATGCGTGCTGGAGTTTCTCAAAGGATCATGAATTTGCCTGCCAACTCGAGT